TTTATTTCATATGAGAGGTTATCTCCTCCCTATCGTGCATTTGTAACTGTTATTGACAGCATAAAGGTTCCAAATTCTATTCAAGAAGCTCTCTCACACCCGAAATGGAGAAAAGCTGTGAATGAAGAAGTTGCTGCACTAGAAAAGAGTGGAACGTGGATTGTGTCTGATTTGTTCAAGGATACGAGACCAGTAGGATGCAGGTGGTTATTTACAATTAAATGTAAGGCAGACGGAAGCATAGATCGGTTAAAAGCCCGACTGGTTGCAAAATGTTATACTCAGTCATACGGAATTGACTATCAAGAGGCATTTGCCCCAGTAGCCAAACTAAACTCCATTAGAATCCTACTCTCCATTGCAGTAAATCGAGACTGGCGTCTTATGTAACTTGATGTCAAAAATGCATTCCTTAATGGAGATCTTGAAGAGGATGTATACATGGATTTACCGCTTGGTCTTGAAGGTAACCAGATGTGTATCAGCATTCCTTGAGTATAACCAAGCACGGGGAGAATGTAACTCCTCATATATCCACCCGACGATCAACCTCTTGGTATTGCTCGTATGTATGCGACAATCTAGTGACATGGAAAAGCAAGAAGCAATCGATGGTATCTCGGAGTAGTGCAGAAACAGAATACAGAGCACTGGCGCTTGGTATCTGTGAAGGAATGTGGATCAAAAGATTTCTCAAGGAACTTGGAATTATGGGAGAAAATTCTATCAAGATGTTCTGTGACAATCAAGCTGCAATCAGTATCACAAAGAATCTTGTTCATCTGACCGAACGAACACATTGAGATTGATCGAAACTTCATTTCAGAGAAGGTGGACAATGGAATCATTGAATTGGTCTATACTCATTCTAGAGACCAAACCGCATACATTCTCACCAAGGCTCTCCCTAAGTTCAGTTTTGATGAGCTAACCAACAAGTTGAGAATAGACAATTTGTACAACCCACCTTGAGGGGGAGTGTGGAATTATGCTCCTTATTATTATTTACTTTAATTCTATTTAGTACTTGTTATATTTAGTAATAATATAAAAAGGGTAATTCCTTAATTATAGGTATTTATATTTATTTCATAATTATAGGAATTACTTAATTGTAGGAAGATTTCTTTCCTCTTTTTATCTCTTGTACTCGTCTATTTATAGGTGAATTGTCTATGTATTCAGTGAGAAAAATGATTATTCAAAATTCACAATTAGTTGTTCGCAAACATTTAAATGGGCACCTTAACTAAAAAGAATGTAAAGTTGAAGTAATGAAAGAAATGTTTGCAAAAATAAGTGAGATAAAATTGAGTGTATGGTATAAAATTAGTGCAAATGAAATTGATCATAATAAGTCCAACCCACAAGAAGTTCAAGTGATATCTAAGTATAATATATTTAAGATAAAATAGTGATAAATAAAATCTAACAATGTAGTTATGCATAACAGAGGTAACATATGCATCAATAGCATTACTTGATAATTTTAAGGGTTGAAAGCATTAAATTGGGGAGAAAACATAGAACAAAGCAGCATGAATAGAGCTTCTGAAATAAGATTTACACAAAATAGATTTAACACCTTGAGCACCACTTATTAAAAAAAATGGAAAATAATGATTAAATAAGTTCGTCCAAAATATAGTTAGGAGGAGCCTAAGGACAATTATGATGATATTAATTGTAAATTTTTAGCAGCTCATTTTGATAGGTTGAGCAATTAAGATGGTCCCCTATATCTCAGTGCGTTGGAACGCCATATCGTTTTATAAGCACATAAGACTTTCTTTTACAGCACTAAAATGATTGTAACTTGTGTGGTAGAGGGTAATATATTTGTTTAATTAAATGGCTATAACCACTAGCCTGTACATACATGAAAAGGTAGCCTATTCAGCACTGACAAAAAAAATACAGAAAGGATATATTGAATCATTAGGCTATACCTGCAATGAGATTATCATTCCATCCACTTGAGGAATCATCATTGCTGGGTGCCCTTCGTAAAGATTCAGATTCCTTTAAATTTTGTAGAACATGAAGTTCCTTGCTAGATGAGCTGCTTGCAACTACCTGTAGTACAGCATGTAGTAGGCCACACAATTCAAACTTCTAAGCTTTCAAGTATATCAATCCCAACAACATCAAAAACAAACCTTAGACGAGGCAATTGATTCTAGCCGTGGTTGAAAGGAAGATGCAGGAGGATAGTTTAAGTTATCATCTGTGGCATCATAATAGGCTATTAATTCATCCAAAAAGTCAAATTCAGCCATAGGTGTCATAGATGTTTCATTTGTGAGGCCATCTCCCAAGCACGGAACATCATGGCTAATCGTATCATAATAAACCAAGTTAACATCAGTAGATTGGCCTTGCATGTTATCAAGATTATCCATTTGTAAGAAATCATCATTCTGAATATCATGAAAAACGGAGAGCTGGTTTGCTTGGTTGATAAAGGCTGCATCTTGAGGTAGAATTTCAGAATTATCCACTTCATCCGCAAGGGAGTTATCACTGAATTCCTCCAGGAAACAATCAGCTGATTCTATATTCAGGATGGAGTTTGTGTTTTCCTCGCCAAAAATATCTTTCAATTGCATGTATCCATTATTTTGGATAGAAGTGGGATTTGTCTGGTACTGAACAACCTTCTGTTTTCCAAGCCTATTCGATGAATTTTTGTTGTATTGCATAGTAGGGGAATCTGCACCTGGAGGCATATCACCATCAGAAGCCTGCTCTTTCAAACTGTCTACAAGGAAATCAGATGGATCTTCTGTATGAGAATTATAGTCTTCCCCAACAGACCTTGCAGAGTGAGAGATGGAATCCGCATGTTGAACACTTGATTCCTGATCCTGAAAAAAATTATGGACATGAATTATAGAGTTGAAATTTAAGGAAAGTTGATGCACTAAAAATATTGACATGAGTGATTGAGTGGAGCAATATAGATGTTTGAACTTTACATACAAAAGAAGGGAAACTTTATTTTAAATCTTATGGTTGACAAAAAAAAAAAAAAGTCCAATGAAATAATTATTTTTGAAATAATTATTTTTTAATATTTCAAATTATGAACCTGGTTGCAACCGTTTCAGATGTGGTCACTAAAATAATGGATCTAGTGACTTGTACTGTGAATGTTAATGATGGTTATTTCAACAGATAGCTACATTAAAGAGAAAAAAACATTAGAATGTGATACAGAATACAATAAAATTGCATTAAAAAGAGTTTTTTAACAAAGGATTTTGAGCATCTACACATACAACTATAAAAGGAAGCCTAAGTGTCAAATAATACTGTAAAGCAAGGTTTCATAGTGCAAATATTAGTAATTCATGCTCAAAGTTCCGTATTACCAAGAGAAAATCGTCCAATTGAACAAAGCCCCGAATAGCAGGATCCATAAGCACGTCATCTCTAGCCTCAGTTACTAGGACAACATTGGCATCGTCATCTTCCACCCTATCCCATTCCTCTTCCACAAATGGTGCGCCATACTGGGCTCCATTCTGCGGTCCAGCACCAGTCTTCTCAAAAACCTTGCACACCACATAGGCGTCCTTCCAGGGAGAAAAAAAAAAACAGTAAACGAAAAAATTGGATGTTTGCTGCTTTATCAAATAAACAAAAATTTTAAAGCATGCAATTGCGGTTTCTTTCAAAACGCATCATTTTCTATACCTGCTGAATCCCAGACCGAGAAATATCATCTCCCTGCAAACGATATTCGTGCATCACCCAGTTGGTTCGCTTACCACGCGGTGCCCGACCGACATGATAAACAAGGGTTTTTTTCATGCCGATGGTGCGAGAACGACTCTGAATGGGCCTATCCTTGCCCGTTGTCTTCCAATAACCCTCTATAGTCGCGCGGTTAGTGCGACAGCGATTAGAGTACTTGCGACCAAGAGAGGTGAAGAAATACCACTCCAAGTCGCGACTCCGGAGGCGCGACAGCTGCGGCAGGTCCCATGGCTCGGCCCCATAAATATTGACCTCAGCGATAGCATCGACGAGGATCGGCCGACCGGTAACCTTCCGCTTCAGGTAATAGCTCAAGAGCTCCTCATCAGTTGGATGGAATCGGAATCCAGGCGCTAGTTGTGTCGGATCAGTGGAAGACCGCAGCGGCGCCGGGGTTTTGGAGCAGGAGGCTTCGCCGATCATCGTGAAAAGTAGAAGAACCGAAGAATCGAGAGTGAAGAAGGATTACAGTCTATGACTGCGACGATTTAAGCTCCCGAGTCATAGTTGGCGAAGGAGAAATCGAAATAGAAACCCTAATGTTGTCCCGCATGATCTCACTGGATTGGCAGAATGCAAGGAGCGTCTCTCCTAAGGCCGAGGGGATGGAAAATGGGAGGAACGCGGGAGGACTTTTCGTTTCTCTCTCCTTTTTGGCCGCAGAAATATTATATGGGGAATTATTATGTATTAGAATAATTTACATAAATGTCACATCATTTTATATATTTTCATATCAAGGCATGATATTTTATATTTATATTCACATCATTTTGTGTCATAATTATACACAAGAAATGTATTTGATATTTTTTTTTATGGGAAGCTTTACATAAATTACCACTCAATTCTTATGTGTTTATATATCTAATATCTAAATTTTAATTTTTACAGAAAAATGTCAAGCATTAAAAGATGTAATTCACTTTTTAAATATTAAAATATTAATATTTTTTTATGTTGAAAGGTGTTTATGTAAATGCCTATTTTTAGTATGATTTTAATTTCTTGGGAAAATTACATACAAGGCATCCAATTCTCATGGATTTAACTCTCACACTAAAATTTCATTTTTACACATATCACTTTAACGATGAATAGATGGATTTGACTATTAATGAGTTTTAGTTAAATTAGGGCTAAGATTTAGTAATTTGATCGGTGTAAATTAAAATTAATTTGAATTAAATTTGATTGATACGGCCTAAGAATTGTTCATTAGCATGTCAAAATTTCTTATTAAGTGCCTGTTGATGTTCTGCTTAATTCAAAATTATTTATTTTCTATTCAATTTTAGAGAATTTTAATTAATTAAACTAATATCATTTACTAAAAATGTTTTGTATTCGACACACGACACGTTCACATTAGCTAAACTTCCTTACGGAAGCTTCTCTTCACTTCTTACTTCTTATTTTGAAGGGCTTTTCTCACAAAATTTCTGCGAACTCACAATGTGGGACTAATCTATCTATACAAAATGGAACTCATGAAAACAAAGAGAGTCATACTAAAATGAAGCTATGTGATATAATTTTAATTTATACATCTCTAGTTTAAATTTTAAAAATAAAGATTTTTTTATGCATTTTAAATACAAAATAATTGTATTTATAAGTTCTTAATTTTAACATAAGTTGTCGAACTAAAAATAATTCATTCAAACCACTTTTAAAAATAATAAGAATTATATTTACAAACAAAACATGTTTCGAATTAGAAATCTGTGTTTTATGTTCATATTTACATATGCAGCACCTTTTACATACATATCACCCTATTCAACCCTTTTAGGCCCAATTACATACATACCACCCAAATTCTATTTATTTTCATATTTAATACCTAAATTTATAAATTTTTTTTTATAATTTTACCACCGAAATATAAATTTAAAATAATAAATTTAATATTTTTAGATACACATAAAAGTTTATATAAAAACTATAAATAAATATTATTATTTGATTATTTACAAACAGAACCATGACCATACCCGAAGGAAGAGCTTTTTTTACAGCACTACAAGGAACGTTGAACACATTTGTATTGCTACAATACGTTTATAAAATTATTCGACATTAAAGTTTTGACAGCAAAAATCAGTATGAAATTGGAAGCTCAAATAAAGCAAGGAAATACATTCCTCTTGAATTCTGTACCCAGAAAGCATCACTAAGAGCCAATAGACACAGTATACTGCTTGATTACTACCAATTCTATTTTATAAAGTTCAATATAATTAGTGACACAAATCATTTAAACTATAAGAGCCTCAACTCTCACCATGTATTGTCCGCTTTCACATACTGGCCTCCTGATTTTGCCCAGTTGGTGTAACTTCGTAGGTCACTCATCCTAAGAGTGCTCCAAGACGAGCAAACATTGCTTCAAATTTTCTAATGACATTTCACTAATACACCTAAAAGCGCCTCAATGTTTTAAGAGTTAACCTTCATTTTACTCGAGGTTCACAAAAACACACCTTAAAATTAACTCTTAAGACAAAATTAGAAGCTTCAACTTAATTCATCACTCTTTAACTTACTGTGATTTCAAACAGCAGGACTGCAGAAAGCAAAAAAAATGAAGAACAAGAAAAACATTCCAAACTCGCAGGAAAAAAAAAAGCAGGCTACAGATAGCAATAAATGTAAACAGAAAAAGATTCAGTAATTTTTACAAGTAGCACCAGATTGTTAAAGGTTTTTAGCAAACTTTGGTTCTGTTTAAATAAATCACAGAAAAGTGACATACCTACAATATAAACTGCTGGGTATTTTTAATAGTAATGAAATACCACAAGCGATAATTCCATTACTGGAGTCTCGGGCAGAGAAATTAGAAAGGTTTCGGTTAGGATAGTTACCAGAGGAGGTTTCCGTTGAGTGCTTACCTTTGGATGGAATCAGGTTAAATTTTCTGCAACAGATTACAAGAATATGTATATATATACATGTATATAAAAACTAGATAGCCCAATTGTGACCATCACAGAAGGCTACGAATAGCCAGCCCATCAAAAAAACTGAATATCATCTGCTTTTGATAATATGCTTGAAACGAAATGAAATCAGGATTTTCATGGCCAAAATGAAATTTAAACCTCCAAATAGCGAGTTAAAAAGCTACTGCAACTTCCACGCTGCCAAGGTACAAAATTTCAGAATTGAACACATACATTGCTCCAAAACTATGATGCTTGTTCGACGCCGGACATTTGTGGATGTGGAGAGTTCTTGCAAGTGTTCTTGTGGTGGCCACAGTTACCGCAGTGACTACATTTATGAGCAATTTTAGCTCTCTTCTTTGTGCTCTCAGGAGAGCTTTTAATTTTTCTCTTTCGCGGCATACTTCCGGGCCTTAAACAAGTTGGAACTGACCTATAAGGATCATCTATTGAGCCGAATATGATGTCCCTTGCTTGCTTTCTTGACCGCCACAGTTTCATATATGGTAAGGATAATCCAAAACTACTTTTTAAGCAATTATTGATGAGCTTTGGTGTGATGTTTGGATCCTTCTTTACCATATCTTGTATTTGATGAGCTATCCAATTAATTGTAGCATGTTTATTTGCTGTTCTATCAACCCTTGGGCATAAATGTCTGTCACATAACTTTTTCACTTCAAAGGTACGTCCATCTGAACACACTGATGCACGTACCCTCCATGGACATCCATGATGTGCACAAATAGCTATAACTCTAGTTTTGTCACTTGATTTAATTTTCAGTGCAAAATTATTCAAAATTGCTTCAGTGCGAAGGGCTTCCTTGAAAGTAAAGGAATCCTGAAAAAGTGAGCCGACCGATAAAGGTTCACTGTCTTCACTATCGCATATGAAGTATTCATCATCAATAGTATCAAGCGCAGTATTACTGTTAACTTCACCATCTAAAGTTGAATGGGACAACTCCAAAGACTGACTACCATCCTCAAGCTCTCTATTATGTGAATACATAACATCTTCATTACCATCTGGTACTATAATCACCACCTCAGCTTTACTTCCATCATTAGAATGTTCGATCATTTTCAAAACATCAACATCATCTATAATAGGCTTGTAGATTTTGGGTGAAGTGTTGCAGACATGATAGTGCAATTCAAAGTCATGGCCTCTTAGCAATGGACAAATCATTTCAGCCTCTTCTCTAAGTACAAAATAATTAATTTTATCTTTCTCAAGCTTCACAGTCTTTTGATTCCCACCTTCATACTTTCTTCTATTTTGGCTCTTAACTTCAATCCAATATCCACCAAATTTATAGGTAATGAAGTAACTATCATTCACATCGAACATTAAATCCATTTTTATCTACATCGACAAAAAATAAATTATATTAGAAAATATATACAACTTACAAATGAACGACATGCAAGTTGTTTATGTTATTTGTAAACATTCAAGCTGTAACATAAATAGATACATCTGTAGAGATCGAATATGTTGTATCAAATTACAAAAAAATTCTGAAACAAACACATGCAAATAAAAGAATAGGAGAAAAGTACTTTGATAAAAGGAAATGAATCAAAGAAAATTTCATTCTATCTTAAGCTTTGAGTACTGTTCTTAATGAAAACTCTCAGTTTTTTCTTAGACATGTTAACTCCCTAGCTATTTATAATAATAACTAAATTTCTCAAAGCTGAAATTGTGAGCCACCCCGCCCCCACCACAACCCCCCAAAAATCAGAGCACCCCTATGGCAAAAATCAGCACTTCTGAATGTATATCACCCCCTTAAAACTGGCCAAAAAGTCCCACCTTTTCTAAGAGTTATAACGGTATTCCTTATCCATACAGATCAATCCTTTTATTTACATATCAAAAGCTAGCTACTTAAAATTATGAGTAAAAAAATGAAAATAAATATAAAAAAAATATTTTGATCAGTTAAATGTGGAATCAAGAAGATTGAGTATGGCTGCAGATTACCGGTCCACTATCAGCTGACAAAGGAAGTTCTTGATGGCTTATTAAGAGCTTGTGAAGTATTGATGTTCCCTGAAAGATAATAGGCCGTGCTCCTTTTGCATATTCTCTCAACTGTAACAAGAAGAAGAATGGTTCAAGTTATTATTAAAATGGTGCAAATACATAGATAGTACTCAAAACGTTGCTATTTTCAAATCTAGCACCATCTCTCATCTATTTTTGAATCTCACTCAAATATAAAAAATCACGATAAAACACCAAGCCATATTTTTAATTTTTATTAAATTATCAATGGTTTGATTATGGCATGCATAAATGCATCAGTTTGGTAGTTCAAAAATCACAGGGGAACTAGGTTTGTAAATAGCAATGTTTTGAATGCTGTGGATGTAGTTATCCCTATTAAATTTGTAAAAACTGAACCAAAATTTCGTGTAAAATAAACAGGGCAATACCTGGGCTGGTGTTAATTTAGCAAAACCGAACTTTTTTGTCCACATTGATTCAGCATCATCAGCTGCAGGAAGCACAAAGTGCTTGACTTCTAAGGATTTCAGCAAACTCTCAATGCATGAGAAAAGAGATTGGAAGTAACCCTGCAAAAAAAAATCAGTCTGTTTGACTGGAAAAGAGAAAAAAAAGGGAAGAAATATGGTGAATAAATGATAAGATCAAAGATTGTAGGCTTTATCAGTTATATAGCATGTCAACAAACGTCTACCTATTGTGGAGTTCAATTCAAGGATTCTTATTCAATTGCACTTTCATTAAGAGAAGCATTTGGCGTTTAAACAGATTTCCAAAATCCCGCCCAATCAGTTGGAATTATTATGTGAAGCAAGGATAAGCTAGAGTTTTCCAAACATTCTATAAAGGATCAAATGAGGTTTGTGCATATCTGAAAAGACCAAATATGTGCTGGAATTAGATTTGAACCAAACAGAATTAGATTTAAACCAACCCAAACTAGACCTGATTGCATTGATACAGGTGGATTATCTTCCTACTTGTGCTGATTCTGTGCTTGTGAGAGGAAAAGCGGAAAATGACGGCTTGTTTCAAACAATCAATAGTTTTTTATAATATGAATAAATAACCACAATGCACGCTGCCTCATTGTAAGTCATTTTTAGGGCTTCAAATAAGCTGAGCCGAGCCGAGCCGAGTAGTAGATTATTCAAGCTTGAGGTGGTTTACAAAAAAACTTATACAAGTTTTGTTCAAGCTCGACCCTTGGGATAGTGTATAAACATAGCAAGGTCAAAAAATGACCCAACACGTCAACTTGACCCGAACATGACTCAAAAATTCGGGCTTGTGTCGACCCATTTAATTTTCGTTGACTCGAATTTGACCAGAGTTCGACCCATCAACCTAGATTTGATCCGAGTGTGAAAGGCTTAAAGCTTCATATGAAAGGCAAAATAGTTTTAAATTGTGTGAAGATGACTAAAAGAATAGATTTATCATTCTAACTATAGATTTATTTATTGATTTTTAATTATTACTTTAAGTAATAGGAAACTTCTGTTGGCCAAATAATGTCGCGGATTCTTTATTTTAGGATTTAATTTAATTTAAATGGATATATATATATATATATACATACACACGAAGCTAAAATGTAATGGAAATACTAACGATTTAGTTCATATATGACTATAATTTTGAAAAATTATAATATTTTAATTTAGCCGAATGGACCTCACATATTTGATAGTCTAGATGGTTAAGCACGATACCACAAATAGTATAATATCCTGAAGAATAAACATACCATTCGTTAGTAGGCTTAACCACCTAAACTAAAGAGTTTGTGTCGTCTGTTTGGTCTACGAAACTCATTTTTTTATAAGCCGACAAGTTCCCATATTTGACATAAAAGATTAATAAAGGTTTAAATTAAACTGAGTTCTTAAGTTCCCTACAGAGTCAAACATCTTAAATGACCAAAATCACTTAAAAAAACTCTCGATTAAGATCAGTGGTTCTGTCTTCAAAATTTCAAAGTTTAGGCTTCCAAAGTAGGACACAGACAAGTCAAAAGGGAACGACTCAAAATAGAAACAGTTATTTTTAGAAATCCAAGGAATGAAAGGTAGGGGATGTCAAAGATCCGAGGAACACCACAGTGACTTCCCAACTATCCTAGTGTTTGGCCTAATGTCTTTGAAATAATATTATTTAATGTTTCCATTCAGCCGATTTATTTTAGAATTTAACACTTATATTCACACGATATATGATCATGCAAATAGCCTAAAAAATAGGAAGATTTATGTCGTACCAAACGACAACCTCGGAATCTTATAAGAGTTAGGACTTACGCTACACAACATGTTCTATATATAATTGCTTTCCTAAATCCCTAAAGCAATTTTACAAATGAAATCTCGAATCTCTGTTGGCTAGTGTTGATATTACAAAGGATTCGAGATTTCATTTGTAAAATTGCTTTAGGGATTTAGGAAAGCAATTATATATAGAACATGTTGTGTAGCGTAAGTCCTAACTCTTATAAGATTCCGAGGTTGTCGTTTGGTACGACATAAATCTTCCTATTTTTTAAAATCTCCCGCATTATGCATTTTTGGCTTGCACACAAAGCTATATCGAAATGGATGTCCTCCCTAGCTAAAATTGAAGTTCCGGATGCGCCGACGCAGTCCATTTTGTCATCTGGGTTCGTCCGGACGACCTCGCCGATGATCGAGTTGAAAATGTGTCAAATTTAATTTTTCTTAAAATCTTAGCTCATGATTGATTATTTCAGCAATTAATTCAAGTTTGATCAATCGTGAAGCCTTCTACAGGTGCAGATGATGTACATTTCGATATTTATATGCATCGAGCGTGTGAATTATGAATCATAATATACGTGTATCGCAAATACACATGAAAGTTACAATTGATTTCCTAAGGCTTTGAAATCCTAGGGGAACTCTCTTTGGGTCTTCATATACTGGTTCTTAGCCCTTGCAATTAGAAGTTGAGTGCTTGGAACCACTTACATGAAACCTCGCAAAAGAGTAAGGAGGTGGCAGAATTTCTATTGGGGTGGGTCCCATTTCTAGTCTTCTATGATAGTTAGCAGGAATATCCTGAGGCTAGATCATAGGCTCTAAGGAGAGGAAAAAAGGGAGACCTTAAAACGAGGTCAACAACTTCATGTGAAAATCTATAATTGAATTTTCTACTGGTTGTCCATATTTTTTTGTTAATACATAAAGAAAGTAAAGTCATTTTAAATTAAGTTTTAAGTACTTTATTTAAATTATATTATATTTTTAATTACAATTTATATCAGAATTTAAATTCAATATCAAATTTTAATCAAACTTCTTTATGAGTTTTTCGATACGGCATAAACAATAATATCCACCAACATAGACTAATTGAGCAATGAGATGTTCATTAAACATTGAAATAATTAAAAAAATGTTCAATTTTTTGGATGTTGATTATGGTCGTGCTCATAAACAAAAATAACCATCATACCAAACTCGAACGGCAGCCAGTTGAATAAGTTTTCACCCAAAATTTGATAATGAGGTGTGTGCTTGTTGACGTCACTTTCAAATAACCCTTCATACTAATCAAACAATTTCAATCAACCACAAAATTAAAATAAAACACACCAAATGAAGATCAAACACGACCAATTTCAATCAATCGATTTGCACTTGAAACAAACTCAAGTCCTGGCCAAATTGAGTCAGGAACGTCAGAATTGACCAGTTCGAAGTTCATTTGAGTTTTCACCAAAAGTCTCAATTTTAGTGAGGTGGGACTCACACTTGGATATGAAATTTCTAGAACCAAATCATTGGATCCCTTGATTTTTTCTCTTCCACGTAGGCCAAATTCGTCATTTTCGAAAGAAAAAATGCTCGTGTTTCAGTCCATAGGCACGCCAGAGGCATCAAAAGCACACGCGCGCACGCACGTGCTCGAGCGCCAACGTGTGCACATGCTTACATCTGGGTCGGCATGACCATGTTGGTTCGGGTGTCGCCACACAGTCGGAACTTGGGGTCTAGTGTGACCATGCCAGCAAGCGTCGTTGCCACGCTGTCTAAATTCAAGGTATGTCGTGATCACACCGTCGATAACTAGTTGCCTCTTCTTCGTATCCAGTAGTAAAACAATGTGTTGTTTCGTTGCTGGTGATTCGTGGGAGCTCCATTGTGATCTGAGGCACTTCATCCCACGACTATTCTCCCACCATGCCATCAGACGGTGAACCCTGGATCGGTCTGAGGGAATTATCCGTGGACTCCAACTGTTCCCACCGCCGGTGCTACCCTCTGATGCCTATAAATAGGCCCCCCATTCCCACTATTCAAGGGCGCCTTCTCCTCCTCCCTCCTACTTCGATAGTTCTGCGGCGTTCTTCCTCCTTCCTCCTCTCTTTTGTCTGATCATCCATCCGTAAATTATTTTTGTATATTTACTTCACTTTTTTTTATTTTATTGTTGTTATTTACTATTTTTTATCTTATGTTAATTAATTAAATAACTTAGGTCGATCCAAACTCAACATGAATCAAACCCGAACCCAACCTAATTTGACCCAATAACTAAACCCAAACGCAACCTGATTCGACCCAAACCAAACCTAAACACGGCATGATTTGACCCTGTTGACCTCATTTTTAGTGAGGTCTTAGTCTTCTACTCTTAGAACCTAGAATCTAGCCTTAGGAGTTTCTTGTTGATCATCCTAGCGGACTAGCAATGGAGCCCACCTCCCGTAGAACTTCAAGCCACTTCTTGACTCATTTTTGTGAAGAACTCGCATGAGTGGTTCCAAGCACTCAAC